TCACTTGGTAGTCCAGGCTGGCCTCGAACTCACAGAGATCCACCTGGCTCTGCCTCCCGAGTGCTGGGATTAAAGGCGTGCGCCACCACCGCCCGGCTTAAACAGGTATTTCTTAAAGGTAGATATATGAACTGGGTTCAGTGCTTAAGATAATTAGTCCCTGAAGGGCATTCTTAATATGTTTATCAGTATTATTCTACCCACATCCATATGCCTACAGTTAAAATGACTGATGATGTCCAGTGCTTATGGAGATAAGAGCAAGAGGATACTATTTTGGGAATAGGAAACCATAAAATCACTTTGGAAAGCACTTTAAGAAACTTCTTTGTAGATGTAATTCTGAATAGTTTTATTAAATAAGAAAGCAAACTCCATATGGAGTTTCTTCAATGCCCATCATTCTCTTTGAAATAATTGGGGCTGCCAGGAGCAGACGTGACTCATTGTTCAGAAAAGTCTAAGTTTTTAAAACATTTTAAATGCCATATTCTGTAGGTCTTTGAAATGTTTGAAGATTATCTACCTAATTGATATATATCTATGTATATCTAGAAAATGTAACTAACATGATTATAAGTTTGATTATCATAAATGACTAATTATTCTGTATTTTTAAATTACATATTACAATTTTAAATGAGTTACATAGACATAGTACCTTAAACAAGAGTAGAAATATATATAGCACAACAAAACTAACTTTAAATTTGTATCAATAAACCAAAATCCATAGCAATCTAAAAAAAGAAACACATTTCCCCTTATTTTGTCTAAAATTAAAAAAAGCTTATAACTAATACAAGAAAAACTATCTAATAAGTATATACAATATATACAGTCAAAAATTACACTAACTATGTCTAGTCCATTAACATTGACAGATTCAGACAAAAAAAATATCATTACTTATCCTAGGTAAAACAAGTAGTTTCTTTTTAAGAGTAGATTCAATTTCTACCTTTTGTCATTTTTATATCTTCCTTTTTTGAGGAAATAGGATCAGCTGAGGAACTGACAAGGTGAGGTGGCTGTGACTTGTTCTGTCTCTCTGATCTTCCAGCATTCACCCCAATACCTGGCTTCAGATTTGTTTTTATTAATAAGACCTTCTAAGATTCCTCCTACAGATCACAAGCAGGCATGTATTTTAAAGCTCAATTTCCTAATATTTATTTCTATTATCATCTTATTTATCATGTGTAAACTTCGGTGTCCATCTACTGAAAGTGATGAAATCTCATCCTGAGAGAGCATTTATTGTATTATGCAGCACTAATAAACAGTAAATGTTGTTCTCAGAAAAAAATATAAGAAACACAGAGCCAAATGCAGAGTTAAAAGCCCAGAGGTCCGAGAGCAGTAGCCAAAAGCTGAGACCACCTTCTTACTACCCGCTGCCACTGCCATCCTTCCCCTGAGAAAGAGACCTACTTCCTGCGTGTCTGTCTTTTTTTTTTTTTTTTTTTTACTTTCTGTTCTGCCTTCTCAATGGTTATAAACCCAACCATATGACCTCCTTGTCACTGCCTGTCTATACAGACCTCAGGTCTCTATGGTTGGTATTGAGATTAAAGGCATGTGTCTCCATGCTGGTGGTATCCTTGAACACACAGAGACCTGCCTGTCATGTGATGGGGATTAAGTGTGTGTGCTACCACTGCCAGACTTCTGCTATGACTTGCTATTAGCTTTGATGCCCAGGCACTTTTATTTATTAATATATAAATAAAATCACATTTCAGCACAAATAAAATATCACCATACTTCTTAGAAAATTGAACAGATATTTCCTGTGTGACATTGTAATTCCATTGAAGAGAAATAAAATATATGTTCACATATAACTTCTCCTTGAAAATTCTTTGCAACAGTTTTTGTGGGTATTTTTATAAATTGTCAAATCAAATGAAGTCAAATTTCTAACATTAAATGGTATCTTAGAGTTTTAATGCTGTGAAGAAACAGCATGACCATGGCATCTTGTAAAGGAAAACATTTAAGTGGGGCTGACTTATAGGTTCAGAGGTTAAGTACATCATCATGGTAGGGAGCATGGTGGCATGAAGGCAGACATGGTGCTGGAGAGTTAGCTGAGAGTTCTACATCTTTTTCCACCGGCAGCAGGAAGAGAATGAGCCACTAAGCCTGTCTTGAGCTTATGAGACCTTTCATCTTGCCCCTAGTGATGCACTTCCTCCAACAACCACCCTACTCCAACATCCACACTTCCTAATAGTGCCACTCCCTATGAACCTATGGGGAGACATTTTTATTCCAACCACCACAAGCAGATAATGGAAATCTTACAGTGAAATACTGCATGTAATAACTTAGTTTCTAAAAGTCAGACTTGGAGATCCCAGCTTCTTGACACTCACAGACTTGTGTTAACCGTGTCTAAGTAGTTTCTAGGAAATTAAAATGCCTGTTTGTTTGGAGATATCAATTCTATAATTGTTACTAGAAATTGTAGTATCTTCTCAGCAGATATTTGCTCTCCTTTGCTGACTGCTGTGAAGAGACTCACAAACTACACACTGAAGCTGGGCTTTGGTGAACAGCCAAAAGCCATCTAAGGGCCATCAACAGAAAACCTATAAGTACTGAGTGCTACTAACAACCAATCTAGTGAGTGTAGCTAGAGTTTTCCTGCCTGCCTGGCCCACAGTCAGGACAAATCTCTGTCACCCCACAGTCCCACAGCCGCTCAGACCCAACCAAGTAAACACAGAGACTTATATTGTTTAAATTGTTTGGCCTAATGGCTCAGGCTTCTAGATATCTAGTCCATTTCTATAAATCTATACCTTGCCAAGTGGCTCATGGCTTACTGGTATCTTCACATGCTCCTTGTCATGGCGGCAGCTGGCAGTGTCTCCCTAACTCAGCCTTCTACTTCCCAGAATTCTCCTCTCTCCTTGTCTGCCTGGCCACTGGCCAATCAGTGTTTTATTTATACAGAATAATATCCACAGCAAGTGAGGCTAAATGTGGACTCTTCTTAATGTTCAGTGGCTTGTGAGAAAGCCTTCACCAAGGAACACACAGAAACCACATCCAGATTCCTGGCTACCTCCTAGTTACTATGATATAATAAAATGTTCATTGTTCTAAAACATTATGGTGCTAATAATGTTAGGAAGTAATAGATATACTCACCAATTATAAAGAATGATTCAGTAATGAATTTGTCAGCTTTATAACAGGAAAAGTCACCACAAATTTCACAACTTAAAATGAAATTGGTTCATTTATTAAGTGAGAGTTCAATAAGTCGGCAGCCCAGGCATGACGTAACAATTCACTGCACAGGTGTAACCACATTACATCCTGGGTTAGGCCTGGGTTATACTGTCATCTGAAACTCAGATGAGATGTCTAAGTTCACACACTTGTTGCAAGAATTTAACTCCTTGTCCCGTGACACTGAAGTTCCAGTTTTCTTGTGATTTTTCCTGGGGGTTGCCCTCAGCTCCTAAAGCATAGGTAGGGTGTCTTGACACATGGACGTCTCTATAACTTGGAATTATTCTCTTTAAAAACTAACAAGAACATGTCTCCTGGGCTTTGAATAACTCTAATTCTTTCTAAATGTTCACTTCTTTACCTGGGAAAGTTGCTCAAACTTAAAATATTAAGGACTATAAATTGTACCTGAAAACTATCTCTTTATGATAGTATATAAGTAGATGTTTGGTTGAGCATTAAATATGAAGTAAATACAACAGTAAACAAGAGATACAGTTATAAAGAGCAAGTCAATGGTCCAGTACAGGCGTTGGACATTTTCTGGAAAGAGACAAAAGGACTCATTTGTTCACCTTGGTATTGTTGATAGTAATACAGATTTACAAATATGATAGACTTATGAAACTAAGTACTTGAAATGTGAACAGTAGATTACATATAAAGTCTGTGCCAGAAAATGTATTAGACACAGCCAGTCACGAGATCTTTTCTTCCATTTCCATGCACCCTATAACAAGACTGCTCAAATCTGATTCCACCAAGAAACCTAGATGCAGAAGAACCAATCAAATCTACTTTTTTCTTCCATGTTTTATGCTTCTTAGTAGTGTGAGAACACCAGGAACCTGAACTAAACTATAGTTCTTCAGTAAAAATATTTCCTCTCATTCTTTCCGGTTATGCAGTGTCTGAGCTAATGAATTTAACATATACATGTTCACACACATGTACATGCATATCCCAATCGTAGGTACAAACACTCTCCTCAGAGACAGTGAACTATAATTCATAAAAAGAAGAATCATTGAATTGTAATTAACAAAAGATAAACAACTTACCTGATCATAGCTACCCACACAGTAAGAGGATCTAAACTTCTCTCCTATTCCACAACCTAGATGGCAGGGCCCTGGCTTCTAGTTCTGAAATCCAGTAATAGCAGATAGGACCTTTTTAGGTAAATACCACTAGGGAGATTGCTGCTTTCTGCGTTAAGGCTAAGTTTCAGTTTTGAAAAACAGCAATGAAACCTCTTCTATGATCATATGACTCTTAATGAGGTAATATTTTTTTTTAAGAGATTGAATGGTCCACAGATCCTGAAGAAATCTTGAGAGTAATGGATTGTCCTTTCTCGTGTCTGGATCAGCAAAATTTACAAAGCAGGGATTTCTTTCATAATATCTATTTGAATAACAGGGGTGGAGTTGAGAAAGACATGAATCAATTATTCACAGGGACAAAAAACCCTTTGGGATTACATAGGTTTTTTTTCTTCTAGTCAAAACCATATGCACTTAATTACAAAAGAATGGAATGAAATACACAAATTAGTGGGGAATTTTCAGTACATCTGGGATGTGTTCATGGGTGAGGAGGTGCAGGAGCCACCACCTCAGAACCACTGGCACAATAAATTATATAAATAGGACAAAGAGCAAGATTTAAGCAAGTTGTCGATGTTTCTTGATTTGCCTCTGCAATACAAATCACACCCAGAAAGAAAAAAAATTAATTGAGTCAGTATTGTGGAGAGATGTTTTGCACTCAGGTTTTGCCAAAGTCAGAGACACAAATCACTACATTTATCAGCCAATGTCCACAACGAGTGCATTCCTGACTTTGAGACAACTTTTCTGAACTCGATACTCATGTTTCAGCAAACAATTGAAAAAAAAAATAAACCAACAACACAGATAAAATATTTCAAATACCATACGTCAGTCAGGATAATTCTTTTGTACTGTGGCTGAGATGTCATTGCTTTAGTGGGATGGGAACCATGCATGGATCTCACAGACTGCCAGAGTCAGGTTTACTTTTTATGAAACGAAAAATGTATTATGTTTGTGCTTGATTTCACGAAAATCCAGCAGACAGCAAAACTTAAAAACATAAAGTGTGGGGCTGGCCCGATGGCTCAGAGAGAGAGCAGAGTGCTTGCCGCCAAGGCTGGTGATGTCAATTGGATCCGTGGAACCTTCATGCTGGCAAGGGAGAACAAACTTCCATAGACTGTGCTCGGACCTCCACATGGGCGTCATCGCTTGCATTCATGGGTGTGTACCCACAATATATATAAATAAAGAATGAGTTAAGTTACTAAATAAACAAAATTTAGGAAACAAAAGTCAGGATTTTTGATGGGCTTACCGCAGAAATTGAGAAGCAAGGTCTAGGTTTCTTGTGTGTGGGTTTTTTTTTTTCTTTTTCTTTTTGAAACCTATCCCATGATTGCAAGGTGATTGCTCCTCCAGACATCTAATTGTCTGGGCTGATGGTAATGGTACCAAGAGACCGTTGTTCCTTAAATGTTTTCTTCTTCTTTTTTTATTTAAATAAAGTTCCTGCAGGCTGCACATCTGGAGGATTCCACTGTCAAGAATTGGGTCATATGTCTAAATTCATTTCCACTATAGGCTACCAAAACAAGGTGTCGGGTGACCACATTGCTACAAGATTGACACAGCTGTTCATTCAGTGCTGTGTAAGCACTGAGTAAGTACAACAGTTCATATTATGTATGTAATTGACACGGACAAGATCTTCGAGGCTTCCATTTACTCTCCAAATTCTATATGCATGCTGAAATTGGCTAACATCATCAGCTTCTATGAATAATCTCAATAGTCTTTACTTTGAGGAGTATAACAACACATACATTATGTTCTTGGGTTTCTATGCCTCTAAGCAAGCACTGAGCATTTTTGAAGTTCTTATTAATGTTTAATCTTACTTGAAATTTTAAAGACTTATTATGAGTTTAGCTAGCTGTGCACCATTTTTAGAAAACTACTAAAAGTTAATAGTCAATTCTATTTAATGTATGTTCATCAATATTTATTAAGCATCATCACTGTGTTGGGTCAGTACTAAAGGTATCAAGGATAAAACCAAATAGTTTATTCTCTGATACAAACACAGGCAGATAAGCACACATTAAAATTGAGGAGGATGTGCTCAAATTGGAGCATTGCAGGATGGAAGAAGCAATTCTATCAGGAGAAGGATTCTAGGAAGACAAACACATTATACCCAAATCAGGATCAGTCCCCTTGTTTAGTCATTTCCAGTCTATTTTCTTCCCTCTAAATTAAATGAAAAATAAATACAATTACTTATAAATAAGTAATACATAGCAATGTAATATAGCTGTGCATTTCTTAATTATAGACATCTTAGAAATGCATTGTCAGGTTGTCATTATGTGAAAATCACACATAAGTGCTTCCGCATACTCACATGCTATGACATGTTTATGCACCTAAGTTATATGAGACATACTATCATAGATGTGAACTCTTTTTTTTACCAAAATAGTATCATATGGGTTATACAACCATAATAATTAAAAGTGTCAACAAGAAAGATGCTTTCAGTAATATTTAAGTTTATTCATAATAACAGGAGTCTTGATTTTAACGAAATATTTGATCTACTGCTTCAGCTCATGTAAAACGCATTCTGTTATCTCTTCACAGTTTGTTATGAGTTTCATAAATACAGAACACCACACAATATGTTTGTGCCTGCTAAAAAACAAATAGCAAACATGTGATATAAAAAGTCGTTATTCTTCAAATACGCTGTTTTCCATGCCAGTCTTAAGATACAAAATTCCTATTTGTTTCTGGTATAGTTATTTCAGAACAAGTTAACTACTTCGAATTGCATGTACCATGGAATGATGGTCCAAACTGAAAATGTCCTGTGATATGTGGTTGAATTTCTTGATAGTCAAAGTATGTATTCTTTGTTGAGGGGTAAGAAGGGTGTATGGGTGGGTGTGTGGACACATATATGTATTTGCATGGTGTGGGAGGAAGTTAGAGGTCAATGCCTGATGTCATTCCTCAGGTGCTGCTGTGTTTGTTCTGACAGTGTCTCATTGGGCCTGGAACTTTCCCTGAACTTCGGGTATCACCCTCAGTTCATCATATCTATGTGGCAAACACTGCTACCTGAGTTAGCTCCTGAGTCTTTGAAATGCATACTATTGAAGCATTTACCCTCATTTCGTACTTGGGGGAGGGAGTCTTCAGTACAGTTCTTAATTATTGTGGAGCAGGAAGGACTGCTTCTCTTTCCCATTCTTCATCTCTACATGTCAGCTTTAGGCACTACCTCCAAACTGAATCCTTTCTGCCAGAAAACATTGCACAGTTAGGAAAAGGTGTTAGAGTACTTTCAAATACCATCCCACCATTTTGCCTCTTAAAACATCCCTCCAAGATTAAATGAGTGCCCTTTGGTGTGGGACATTAAACTTCCCTAGTCACACAAGAGCTAGGTAATCAAAGTAAACCCCCAAACCTGTTTTTCTTTTCCCTTGTCCTTTGTGTTCTTTCAAATACTCCCTATGCATCCCCACTGGCGGTTTACCGTGTAAATGCATTTTGACCAGTTTTGAGTTGCCGAAACAATTCTCTCTCTCACCTAAAGACTGAGCAGTTGTACTGGAATGTCTTGAAACTGAACTTCAGCACTGACAGTCTTAAACTTTCTCTATTATTTCTGTTACTATAACTATAACACACATCTTAATACTCCAAAACTCGCCAGTTCAGAATTTACTCATGTTTCCAGCACTCCACGAAGAACAAAGCCAACCACGCATGTTCCAGCTCCTTCCTTCCAGAAATTAGAATTTGTTTCACTTACGTTAGCTCATCTCTTGTAGCCATTGTTTCCTTAATGTCTTGAACACTGCCTGGTAGTTAATATTTTTAATAAGCAAATAACAGATGTACGTGCACATAATGTAAGTGACTGTTCAAGACTAAAAAATGCATGATGAATACAATTATGAATGGATTAGTAGAGTCAACACAATTAGAGAATGGAAAATTAGTAAAACTGTCAGAAAAATATCCAAACAGAAAACCAGTGGAGATCAGGATGTTCCTGGGAACTTCACACATTCCTGAGAGACATGCATATCCACTACAGAGAGACAGCAAGCTTCTTTGGGCTTGCTAAATATAAAAAATTTTGAATGTGAGCTATTTACACATTTTAGAAAATTTTACATGAATAATAATCTGTGCTGTCAGGCATGGAATTAAACCCCAGACTGGTCCATCTGTACACATGAAGGTAACATTTAATTCTGTGGGCATCTTTCATTAGGACACTAATCTCATTCATGAGGTCACTGCTCCATCGCCTAATCACCTCTCAAAGGACTCACTGCTAACACCAATAACTCCAGTGTTATTTATAATAAATATATTTTTCTTTATGTAAGTGGGCCTAAAAATGTTTGGAAAATAGTTGCTAGAACACTGGTAAGAATATGAAATAACACAAAGGTAGAAAAGACACTGCATATATCCAATTATTCCTGTAATGATCCCCACAAAAGAAACTCCTAGCATGTTAAAATTGAAATCAGGTCTATACAACCAGAGTTCTTAATTAGTCTTAATTATCAATTAGACTACCAATCAAGTTAGGTAGGGGATCAATCCCTTAAGAACCAGTCTACCTTTTGAGACTATGGGGCATAAGAAATAAAGTGGAAACCTTAGATGCCATACTTAGCCTTCTCCACAACACAATTGTTCATTCTTATCCTTGAGTAACTGATATGTGCTTTTTTTCCTATTTTGCATATAACCTCTGCTTGAGGTCAGAATTCAGTGACTATCAAAGCCTCCAAAACACTGTTTCTGGAGAGGCCTTTCCCAAGGCCTTCCACTGTGTTCCATTGAACTTCACTACGTGAACTCAGAGACTATCTTACTTTGAAAGACCCAAGCCAGTTATTCTATGAATCTTCTCCTGTATAATCCCCTTCTTAGGGATGGTAGAAGAGAAAAACTCTGGGTCTGAATTTCTAATGTTTACTTAATTTTAATGATATTGGTTTAACTGAAGCTCAGATGTGAGCCTGGTGTCTGTCTGTCTGCCTCACGAAGGCCAAAGCAGGGCATACCATATTCTGGTTTCAGACAATCTGGCAAGGGTTCCGTGAGAAAATACTGTATGCCAGGTTCATGTTCACTTGTTCACAATTTCATATTTTAGTTCCCTAAGTAAAAAAAAATTATCAAACTGAGATGGGGAAATATTATAGAAAGATAAGCAAGAACGTTTAGGAGAATTTTTTCATTTTAGGAACATCATTTCAGGTTCATACAAAGACCATTTGAAAAGCCAAGTTTGAGAGTGAGACATACAATTCTCGGTCTACAACAAATTCTGACAAGAATTCACACACTATCAGAAAGGTTCTTTTCTCTTGCTTGGCTCCCCTGCAGTGGGACAGGGGACAGAGCCAATGCCCCAACCTCTCTGCACTAAGGGAAACACTTTGACCCAGTTCCAGAAGCCCAAGGGCTGTCCTTAATTAGCATTGTAATTTATATTGCACAATTATGCAAATTGGGTACATAAACAAAATTATCCTTTCAGGTTGGCTTTGCCACTCGAGCAATGCGAAGGCAGTCACCGATAAGAGAAAAGACAACGGAATACATTTGCTTTAATGCAATGCCCATTTCTTCAGGTCTCTTCTGCTTCACTCTTTCACCTTGCTCTTGGGCTTTGTTTTATTTTTTTTCTTTCTCTATGTTGAGTTTTTTTTTCCTTTATGATGTTTATTTCTTCCTTTATCTATACTTGGCTCTTTTTCCTTGAGAAATTTTCCATCTCATTAATTCTTCTGCTGCGATTCCACAACCCTTTGGGTCATTCCTTTGGGGTTTGATATGATTGCTATCTGCCTGTTGTAGTTTTCTTTTGCTTTCTGCTCTCCAAGTATCTCTTTTCCGCTGGCATCCCATCTATGTTGTGCCATTTCCCCCCTGGCCAGTTTGACTTTCTTTTATAGCTGAGTGATGCTCCTTGCTAGCTCTCTAGCAAACACCCTCAGGATGCAAGCATGTTTTTGGTAAGAAAGCTGAAAATAAGCATGGCAAATAACAAAACTTGGAAGATGGGAAATTTGAAAACACAAAGCTTAGTACATCAGACTGGAAACCTGTGCCTCCAAGCAATATGCAGCATTCAAGGAAATATTAGCCACCAGGTGATCAATGCTTAAATCAGCAGAGCAAAGACAATTTACTAATACTGGATCACATTCCAACTGAGCCAGTTCCTTTGGATACCCTTCAAATTATAAAGAAGATTATAAACGTCAAAAATACTGTAAATTTATAGAAAAAGGTTAGAATGGGGCTGGATTTGCAGGGAAGGTTATTACAGTGATTGACAGTATGTGGGGACGAACTGCTGAGGGCATTTCTAACAGAGGTGCCTCAACAGACTGGGGAAGGAAAAAAAAAAACGTGCCTTTCTTTATCTGCCCAGAACCATGTCTCCCATGGGAAAATGCTCCTTTTCATTCTACAGCCCTCTGGCTTCGGCAACATCAGTCAAATTAAAACATAACCCAAGGGGCACCCTGCCCAACCATGGCAAATCACAGCATCTTCCCTCTGGCTATAACTTTTTCCCATTTTGAGTAACATTCAAATGCCTTGTAGAACCTTCCCTACATATTTTCAGTCCCTATTTTGCTGTCTTTAACTCACCCATCTCTTTCCTATTTGCTTACTAGATTTTAGCAGTCCTGGCTGTCTAATATTCTCACATCTTTATATATATATATATATATATATATATATATATATATATATATATATATACCTTATATCTTTTCTGCTTTGTACTTTGATAGTGCTGGAGACTGAATTCACAACCCACACATGCTAGACATGTGCTCTAACACAACCACGTCCTAGTGTTTTCTGTGATTTTTGATAGCTGGTTTATTCTTGTCATCTGGGTCTATAGCCACATTTAATTTAACGGACATCCTCTCCTAAATCTCTATCTAATGTTGCCCTACACTCTGCTACCCCATCACTTATTCTGTGTTAACTTGGTAGTATTAAATGTATGACTGTGTACTATATTTAACTTCTATGTGTACTTGCATGTAAGATATTTATCATAAATTTTACCTTATGTATTGTGTGCCTCTCCCAGCTCAAGAGAATGGAAGATCCTGTCTCTGTGTCTTGTTGCCATATCCCTAGTACCTAAGACAGGTCCAGGATGCAGAGAGCATTCTCAAGATATCCTTAACGTAAGGGAATGAATTCATCACTGCTAGAGAATTGGCAATGACCTATACCCAGTCAATGCCTTTGATTTAAATCTATAACCTGTTATGTGTGAGTAAAGTTCTTTGGGGTTTTAGGTACTAGAACTGAGGTGAATACAGCTCACAGTAACTAGCCTCTCCATCTCATGAACTGGAGTGCCATAACCAGCGAGGCTCAGTGATGAGTGGGGAGTATGGTAGACGCAGAGATGGAAAATAAACTGGACCAGTCTTATTAACTGGTTTCCCACCATCCCGTGGCCCATTTGTACTGCTGGTTTTGGTTTCTTTAAAGACATTCAGGGTCCTGTCTGCAAATTTTGACTTCACAAAATTGCTACATGTTGGGTTTCAGTGTGTTCAATTAGTAAGTATGATATCAGTCAGCATAAAAAAATAACTCAACAAAACAGCATAACAATATGCTTGATACTAAACATCAAGGGGGAAAACTGGTGTTTGAGTCATTTGCCTGTTTCATGGAGAGTTGAATTCTTGATATTTTCCCATTGTAGCTTCTCTATTCAAAGAAATGATGAACAATAAATAAAGGAAAGGTGTGCAGGGATAGGAGAAGCTACCTGATGGAATATTGAAAATAGCAAACTGTAAAGTTCTTATGCATCATAATTCATATTGAGTATGTTCTTAACTAAGGCATTCTAATCTTTAGCTCTGAGCACAATTGTGAATTTGTTTTTCAACTGGCTGTTCAAATCTGTTGTTCTTGCTGTCTGTGGCATATCCTACATACTGGTTTATTTCAGAATATTTTAAAAACTTTTTAAATTAAGCATATTTGGACTTCCTTACTGTACCCTATCAAAATTTATATCCACGAATATAATATCTGGAGAGTAGCATGGATTGGGTAAACTTTGTGACTAAGGCATGGAATAATTTCTTTCTACCCCATGATGTGGGCCTGAATCCTAGTGTCTCTCTCCAGACCTCGCAGTCATCTCTTCTCTTCACATGTTAATCAGCTGACTGAGCCACAATTGGGAAGGTGAGTGGGGAGGGGTTGAGGAATATCTAGTGCAAAAAAAAAAAAAAAAAAAAAAAGATGCTTCTCTTCCAAGACCCGTCATGGTAAATTCCAGAGTAATGATCACAATAAACACAAGTAAACACAAGTTCGTAGGAAAGAAGCATGTCCTAAAGTGAAAAACTAATAGATAATTTATAAAACAAAACTAAGGAAAATGAGGCAATTCAAATTTGTGCAATTGAAAGCTGAATATTGATTAAAATAACAACATTAAAAAAAAACCTTTCCTAATTTGAGCCAAAATTGTAATTTAGATGCTTCTAAGAGACAGAGTGAGTTCTGTGGTGGACTGCAAGCTTTAGGAGGAAGTTACAGGAAAGGGCAAACATGTAAGACAGAGAGACTGGATATTCTCTTATAGAGTCAATCTGGGTAGATCCACCGGACTTTGCGCAGATTCTGTCAAATTTTGTGTGTAGAATTCAGACATAGCCCACATTACAGTTACTTTCTTCCCAATCTATGGACAAGTGTTAGGGTGGGTGGAATTTTGTGAGTTTCCTTATTCAGATTTTAAAAATTGTAATGGAAAACAATCTGATTCAAACTTCCTGAAAACTATAAATTTAAGAACTGTGTAGAAATACTTAGGACATCATTTTTAAAAATGTGAATATCTGGGGAGACTATGGTCAAGGATTTAACTTTCCATGAATTCCTATAGTTACTATATAGTTTCCTTCATAACATTGTATGGGTTGTTAAAATCATCTGCATATTTCATAGGTAAGCTAGGGTATTGATATTTTAGGGGTTTTGTTTGTTTATTTGAGACATGGTTTCTCTGTGTAACCATGCTGGCTGTCCTGGAACTCACTCTATAGACCAGGCTGTCCTTGAACTCACAGCCATCTGCCTATCTCTATTTCCCCTAGTGCTGGGCTTAAAGACATCACCATTGTCTGGCCTGGCCAGAAGTTATTTTTTTAACACCCTGTGTAAAGTATATTCATTAGTATTTTTCTAGAATTTTACAATTATCTTCTTAAATAAGATTACCATCATATTGTGTTTTTTAAAATTCTCCTTGTATTCACTTTGCCATCTTCTAATAATTAATAATATTTTGCTTTGTGTTCTCACTTACCATTAAACATTTTCTTACAATATTTATTTATGTAGCTCATTTGATGATTTTAAAATCTCCAACATTAAGTTTATATTCGTCTGACATTTTCTCCTAGTTTTATAAAATTTAAATTCTTGATTAAGACTAAATTTCAATATAATAAATACTAGTGCACTATATTTATTATATAATAAATATAATAAATAGTGCAGAGACAAATAATATTTGTCTCTGAACATATTGGCCATATGCTGCCGTTGAGATGTGGTACTACATGTAATGTGATATTTCTAATTTGCTTACAACTATGGTTTTAGTTTCCCACAAGCTCCAATAATTATTAAGGCAAATGGTTTTTCTATTTAATGTGCTTTTGTTTTATTGTTTCTTTTAAATATTTTGGAGGAGGCTTTTTCACACACATACAAAAAAAAATACTTCTGTAATGCAAATTATGACCACATGCTGCTTCTGCGATTTCTGGGTTTAGTTTTATTTTGGCATATTTTGAGACTGAACAATACATGCTCAAAAAATATAGTTCTATTTATAAGGTATAAATCTTACAACCACTTCTCAACAGTTTTTTCTGTTTAAAACTATCTGATCTGCCAATGATTTGGTAGCTATTCATTTTGTAGCATTTCATACTTTTTTATGTTTTATTCCCATTTATATTTCTGATAAAGATATCTAAATAAATTATTTGTATTTGTATAACTTTCTAAGGGATGAGTGGCCCACCCAGCCCACCCACTTAAAACAAAAGTGTTGCTGGACCTTTCATTTTGTTTTCCTCTTCCTTTTCTCCATATCTACAGGACTGTTCCATTTTTCATCAATATAACTTATATAGTAATATCAAATGTCTTTGTAAAACTTTTAAACAGTTACTTTTTTTTCAACAATGCTCATATCTGCACTCATTTTATAAATATATTGCCAATGATTATGCAAGGTTGCCTTCTCTTTAGCACCCACTGTGTTCCTGTCCCTTGGCCAGGGCTTGGAGCCTCTCTTGGGGATTCTGGTTAGGAAACCAGAGCATAAAATATGAGAAAGAGATTAAGGGTCTGAACTAGTTGAAACGTTGGCTACCATAATGAACATTGCTTTGTAAGTAATTCTTACCACTAAAATTATGACAAAGGCATAGAATGACTTCACCATCATCTTCTAATCTTCACATAGGCCGTTGCAATGTATGTTAATGGAGGGACAAACAACTTCTTACCATGTGTTAACACTCCTAGGGAATGAGACACATACATTCACTTCATGGTTACTATCATTATATTATTGTCGTCAACATTTTAGTGGATTCACCTGGAAAGACTGTTAACATTAGTCTCAAACTTGGCCATACTATGGTATGATCATAAGGTGACATCTTAAAAAGATCCTAATGGCCTGGCTATTCACCAGACCAATTAGACCCAGATTTCTCTGGTTCAGACTTAGGATTTATTTTCTAAAGAACCTCATGTGACTACAGACTGGAGCCAAGAATAAAAGCACAAGAAAGTTAGGGGAGGCCAAAGCCTCAGTTTTGTTAGGCGGTGGCCATGGGCCTTAGCAATTCAATACAAGAAAGACATTTTCTGGCTACATAAACAGTGGCCTGGGAAAAAGCTTTCTTTGGTCGTAGGGGGACCACATCAGAATGATCCAAAAGCACTTAGAGGGTAGCAATAATGGTTTCAAGACTTGCAAGCAGCAGACGGGGACTAGAGTGTCTAATTTTGCTTTGAGGTGGGTGCAGACGAGAATTTGTCAGAGCTTTCAATTGAAAACAACTTGGAAAAATAAGTGAGATTCCAATATTTGAAAATTAAGAATGCAGGTTATTTAACAAGTTTTGTTTGCACTCTTACATTTAATTTTGAAGTCTTACAATATTATTTTTATTTTTAGAGAAGATTACCACAGAGAAATGTTTCCTGATCTTATATGGGAGCTCAGAATATCAGTCAGATTTTTAATTTTTTTTGTTACCTATATGAAGCCAGATGTTTATTATCGTTTAAAATGGCCTTCTAATAGCAAGTATTACTATAAATATTTGAATATTTGTGTTTGTGAATATTTCTCTATGTGTGTACAGATATATGTGCATGGATACATATGCTCCTGCATGCACATGTATGTGGAGGCCAAGAACAACATTCTCAACTTCATTCCTCAGGCACTGTCAACCTTGATTTTTAAAGTGGTGTCTCATATTGGTCAGAAGTCCCCTAGGTAAGTGAGGTAGGTTGGCTACACGAACCCCTGGAATCTGGGGTGTCTTTGACTTCCCAATACTGGGATTTCAAGTATGTATAACTGTGCCCAGATTACCTGGGAGGTGGGGTGTTAT